AGTTCAGATACCTAAAGACTAAAGAGCTCTGAGAGTTCTAGCCGTTTACAAACACATTAAAACACCAAAAGCAGAAGCTGGGTATAGTGGTGCATGCCCGTAATCTGAGCACTTTGAAGGCTGAGGCAGAAGGATTGCTGCAAATTGGAGGCCAGCATGGGCTACACAGTGAGTTCAAGGCCAGTCTGAAGCACACAGGGAGACCCCACCCAGCCCAAGCCAGACAAACAATCACCAAATGCAGAATCAGTGACCACCACCCACAGGAAAAGCTGCCCTTATCAACGCTCTCCCAGGGCCAAAAGCTACACTTGAATTTTCAGTCATGGAAATTAAAGCAGGGGAACCATTTTAAGCCCATTACATTGGCAGAAATTAACACTTGCTAGCCAGGCCTGTGGCATGCTAACGAGGCCAAGGCAGGAAAAGGGCAAATTCATGAGACCCTGGCTCAAAATTTTAGAACACTTGCAAAGGACTGGGGATGTAGCTCAGCGTGAAGGCCCTGGGTTCAAACTAGGACCACAGAAAGTCCGCCAAGATCTGGCGTTGGTAACTACGAAGAGCTCAGCCTCACCAACGTGCCAGGCGCAGAGCTGACGTGATCTCAGAGGAGGGCACTTTGAAAACACCCAGCAAAGCAGAGGCACTGCCCTAGGGCCCAGCAAGAGGCGCTGCTTCTGCTTCTGCTTCTGCTTCTCCTCTTGCCCAGGAGAAACCCTTGCAGAGCCTGGGAGCCGCAAAGGCATTCACTGCCGCAAAGGCACTCACTGTGGAACTGTGAGCGGTAAACAGGGAGGCGGAGGGAGGAATGAACAGCCTGACTGTCCCTCAGGAGAAGACACAGAACGCTGAACAGGAGTGAACTACGCTGGACGTGCTGTGCAAGCCTGTAATCCCAGAATTTGGGAGGCTGAGGCAGAACGATCCCAAATTTGGGGTCAGCCTGAGCTACATAGCAAGTTCAGGGGCTGGGGATTTAGCTCAGCGGCACAGCGCCTGCCTGGCAAGGGTGACGGCATGACTCCCGGTACTGGAAAAAAGGAAAACAAAACAAAAAAACAACAACAGCAGGTTCAAAGCCAACCTGGTCACGGCAGTGTGACCTAGCTCAAAAAACAAACAAAGCTAGGTATCCTGGTACATGCCTGCAATCCCAGTACTCTGGGAGGCTGAGTCAGGAAGACTGCAAGTTCAGGTCCAACTCTAGCAATTTAGTAAACCCTGTCTCAAAAAAATTAACGATCGTTAACACCTTTAAACACTACTGCTCAGGGACTAATACAGAGTATTGAAATCCAGAATAACAAGCACACGGGAATTACAAGGTGATACAACAGGTATGGGAGGGAGGCTGACCGGAAGAGCAGAGGCCAGAAAACCTGCTGCAGGGAGAGGACCCAGAGGACCTCAGGTCTGCAGAGGGGCCTGAAACTTGGAGCTAAGAGTGAGAGGTCTGGTTCAGGTTGGGCCGGGCGTGGACTCTGGCAGACATAGGGTTAGCACGCACAAGGCCCTGAGCTGTGACCCCAGCACCGAAACCAAAACCAAAACCACACAATGGGCTTAGATCCCTGTATCTCCCACTACCTTCTAACTAGGGCGGAATCTAAACAACCAGGCAAGGGCTGCAGACCCACACAGCCACACAGCCTTTCCCGCACAGCGATTGGCCTGTGTGCAGAAGAGGTGAGGGGGACCAGGCGCAGAGACCCATGCACCTCCTGAGAGGGCCCTTACTGTCAGCACGCCCACCGCAGCACCAACGACAGGGAAGGGCCCGATTCGGACTGTTCCACCTTCTAAACTGTCTCCAGGGCTTCCCCCGTGCGTGCAAGGTCTTGGGCTCCATCCCCAGCTCCCCCCACACACAGGAGATGAACTGTGGAAGCATACAGTGGTGAAAACGAAAATTCCACTCCCACGTTGTGCCCTCACCTGTTTCTGATACTTTCCACAGCCCACACCAGCGGCCAGGCCCCTGCCCTGGCTTTCCAGGTTTCCGCCCATTCGACAGAAGGCCGAGGCCCACAGCCAGTCCCGCAGGCAGGAGCAGCAGCAGCCTCAGGCCCTCCCGCGGCCTGACCAGTCTGGAAGCAGCGTCTGGAGCCAACACCACTCGAGCCCTGGAGCAGGGCTGGCCTATCCCCAGTACCCAGAAGCGGGGTTCTGCACTTTCCCAAGGGGCAGAACCCGGCTCGGGGGCCAGGTCTGGAGACAAGTGGAAGCCACTGTCGTCCAAGTGCCTTCCCTGTTCTCTGGGCTTGACCCTTTCTAGAAGGCTCTAGGTCACCATGACCAGGGTCGTGGGAAGCCATTCTCCAAGGAGGAACAGGAGAAGGGAAGCCGACCCAGCACCCTGGAGACTGAGACAGGAGGATTGCGGGGAGTTCAGGGCCAACCTGGGCTACCTAGTGTGTTCAAGGCCAGCCTGAACACATGGGAGGACCCAGTCTTAAAAAGAACCCCTGCCCACAAAAAAAATAAACAAAAAACCCACGAGGAAAGAGCCTTGACCTCCCCGCACCCCTGCAGGGCTCGTCTTGTCATTCACTAAGATCCCTGCACGGCTCAGCCTGCTCGCCATGAACTCCCTGCGATCCTCAGGGCGCCGGGCCCACAGGCCTGCGCCGCCAGTCTCCGCCCTGTTTTCCTGCCTAGGCACCGGGGGATCAGTTTCCCCAGGACACTAAAAGCTCCAGGCCTCCCTCTGAAGCCCACTGCCTTCTTTCCCCCACACCCTGGGCTATCCTCTTTTCCCGCCCTGGCCCGCTGCTGCCCGGAGAAGGTCACACCCGGGCCTAGGAAGCCAAGGCCCCCGCAGGCCCCGTCCTCCCCTCCTCCTGCTGCCGGGCCCGCCAGCCACCTGCCCGTTCTGCTGCCAAGAGGTCGGGGTCCCGGGGTCCTAGAACGGGCTGGGGTCGCCGGCACGGAGTCGGCCGGGCAAACTTCAGGACGACGTGGAAAAAGCAAAGGCGAGCACAAGAGAAGGCTGGAGCGCCAGATCGATCGAGCGATCGAGGCCACCCGACCCCACCCGCACCGCCCCGGGCCTGCAGCGGGACGGCAACTCCTCCCGGCAGGTTCCCGGCGAGACCGTGCGCCAGGCCGCCCCGCCCCGAGGCTGCAAC